TTTTTTTGATAGTAGCTGCCAGATCATCATAGAATTTGTCTCTGACTTCTGTTGTGAATGACAGTGTTGCTGCATATGCACTAATGAGGGTGACCAGTCCTGCTGATGAGTGCAGCTGCAGAGACAGGATTCTTTCATTCCCCACAGTAGGTGGAACAATGGATCTCAGCAGAGTATTTCTGACCGCAAAGTCAATACCATGTTCCCTGGTCTCATTCAATGGCATTCCCTGCCAGAAGAATGAGAAGTTTTTTTCTTTGACATATCCCATGTCTGGAAATCTCATCTCTTGCAAGACAACAATGGCCATCTACAGTCTGCTCAGTTCCGTGTCAATGACAGCTGTCTCGCGCGCATCGTCTATTTCCTGCAGGTCGTCAGAAAAGCCAGGGTCATTGTCCGAACATTCCAGGTGCCCAACTTTAGGGCAGAAGTTTTCTTATGATTGTTGATGGTGCATTTTATTGATCTGCTTGTTGGCTTTGACCCTAACCCCCACGCACCCCGTGAGGTTAACAGATCACAGCAAGGTAGCACCTTACTGGCTGGGGACTGCCTTGCTTAAGGCAGACAGTAGCTACCTAGTGAGGTGCAATGACTTCTCCCACCATCAGAAGTAGCTCCTGCCCTATGCCAATTGAGCAAAGACTTATAACCGATAACTGCTACTTCCTGTGTTGTTTCTATGCTGTATGTAAAGCTGGAGTGTCCTCTCCAGAGTATGAAGCCTGTATAGAATAATATGGAGGATAGGCTGTTACCCAAGCAGCAACCCCCCCCCCCTCTCCATGTCACTGAAATAATCCAATGGAAAGGCAAGAGCCAGTACAAGTCGCAGAACTACACAAACTGCCTCCAGGACTCCTGCTCCAGATTTTGCCTCGAAGTTAACTCCTGATTCCTTTTCCATCAGGGGATATAGGTACAAGGCAGTGGAGGTTTGAAATCGAGTTTTCCTTCTCCTAGATGGGCTGCCTTCCAAGGCTGATGAGCCCCATGAGTGACGATGGCTATTACAAATTATAGACTTGGCTTCAAAACACAGTTTGGAAACACATTCAGATGTTGGTGTAAAAAGCAGGAGTGTCTGCAAGACAAATTCCAAAATTGGTATCATGGTGATACCATTGTGAGGCCAACACCTAAGGCAATATATACATTAATTTGAAATCTCAAAAGGTTGCACAGACATTTGTGCCTTTGATATTGGTCTAAGTAACATATGACCAATCCAAATGCGTGGATTTTGAAATGGAGACCCTTGGTGAGACAATTTATACTTCAATTTATATTTCATATATTAGTCAGTCTTTGAACCTAGATTGTGCTTCTAACTGAGAGGGTTTAGAACAGCAACTTTAATTTCACTGGCAAACTATTTAACCAAAATTTTGAACCTAACTGATGCTTTATAATGTTGAACTCCTCTTTCTCCCTTTCGCCCCTTTCTCCAGGTAATATTTTTGATTTTGTACTTCCTCATTGTTGTTGATTGTGCCTCTTCCGCCTGTGCATTTGTATAATGCCAATAAAAGTATATAGTATCGTAAAAAAAATTATTTCAGTATTAGTTTGTTGTTCCTCTTTTATCATTTCATCAAAGCTTCCAATTAAGTGATATTTTTGTTTCATTGTAGAAAGTACCATCCAAATAGTGGCCCTTCAGTACGCAGTTTGGGAATCTGTGCTTTAATCCTCATGCACACGGATGGCAAACCAGCCCCCTCTCTGCACTAAGTTTTGGGGTACTGTCAGACTCCATTTGAAATACATTGTACATTTCTTGTATTTCCTGAATTACAGTGTCTGTGCAGAATGAACTTACCGTAACCTCTGGGCAACCAAAATACAACACTCCGGCTCCATGGCACCATGTTTCACCAAGAAATGTCATGAGACATTCCCCTGCTTCCCATTAGATTATATTAGTTGAGGCGAAAAAGTACATCAGTGGCATAAACAATACACTGGCGGGGAGAATTCTCGTCCAACCTCATATTGCGTGTTTAAGGAACTGTACATGGGAAGCTGCTGAAATATCAGGTATGAAGAACTGTATACACAGTTCTTCAGGTGACAATGCCGTAGAATGCCTACCTTTCTGGTCTAGTTGTAAAATGTAACCCCGGGGGACTCAAATACGCCATCCTCGTACATGATGTTAAATGACAGACAACGTACTAAACTAGCTTGTCCAACCCCAGCTCTAGAAGTTGAATTTAGTGCTTATTACATTACACATTGCTTATACTAATTGTTCTCACCTGCAGTGGTCTTCAAAGAAAAGCCATAACTATTTTGTTCCTTCACTATGTAGCAGAGTCGAGGCTGTGGAACTGGACCAGGCACTCCATTTGTCACAGGTGCGGGATGTTCTGCCTGTTGAGTTTGTGTCTTTTGACCCAGCTTTTCAAAGTTGACTCCTTCCTTTTGTGCACTTTTGTAAGAGTCCTCATCCAGAACAAGGAACACTACAGGACCTGCACTATTCATCACTAAATCAGTCACCTGTAATGGACAGAATGAGTGGTTAGATTGTAGCTACAAACAGCAACTTTTAAAATACAGTATTACATTTCTGTACGACCAAAGAACTTTGTTCTTCTGGCTTATAAAACAGTAGCAAGGCCACCACGCACATTAAAAGAAAATAAATTTAACATATAAAACAACTAATAGAAACTTACGAATAACTGCAGAGCAAAGTAAGAGCAAACAAATAGAAAGGCCAAAATGTAAAGGACAAGAACAGTGGCTTTAAACAACAAAAACCCCACTAAGAATGAAAAGCTTCTGACAATTAATATGTCCTCTCCCAGCACTGAGTATTGGTCAACAGAAGTATGGTGGGTATTACAGAACTGAGGTGCCACCAGTGAAAGCACTATCTCCTTGTCAGGTATCCATTAACTTCATAGGATGGGGCAGATAGACAAGGGCTTCTCAGTATGGTATTTAGTTATACAGAGAAGGAGACAATCCTTTGGACAACCTTGCCCCAAATCGTTTTGATGTTTAAAGTTCAGTACCAAATGCTTGAGCTGGATTCAGAATCTGGCAGGAGGATTTGAAAAGAGAGCAGATCACATAATACTGGCATAATGTTTTATTCCTACAGCTTGGCATGGCCAAAGTAGTGCTTACTGGTTTTATTGTGCCTTTTATGTGTGGTTTAAGCTATTGTAAGACAATGTATTTGCAAAGGCTTTCACGGCCGGGATCTAATGGTTGTTGTGGGTTTTTCAAGCTCTTTGTCTGTGTTCTGAAGGTTGTTCTTCCTAATGTTTCGCCAGTCTCTGTGACCAGCATTTTCAGAACACTCTGTGCTCTGGTGCAGTTTGTTTCCAGAAGACATCAAGGCCCTTTTCCAACACTGCCTAACAACCAGTTTTTTCCAGTGGGATAATGAATTCTATGAACAGACAGATGGAGTGGCCATGGGGAGCCCCCTCAGCCCGATTATAGCAAACTTCTACATGGAGCATTTCGAAAAACTGAACCTGGCTTTGGCACCCTTCACACCCACAGTCTGGTTCCAATATGTGGATGACACCTTTGCCATTTGGAACCACGGTGAAGAAAAATTGGAAGAATTTCTAAATCATCTCAACAGCATCCACCCAAATGTACAATTCACCATGGAAAAAGAAATAGAGGGCCAACTCCCGTTCTTAGATGTCATGATCGTACGCAAAACTGACCTCCTATTGGGACACAAGTTCTACAGAAAACCCACACACAGAGACTGGTACCTACATGAAAACTCCAATCACCACCCACAGCAAAAAAGAGGCATAATCAAAACACTGGTAGACCATGCAAATCAGAACTGTGAAGCTCAGTTTCTCAGCACCGAACCCAACTATCTGAATTGGGCCCTACACACAAATTTTTGGCTACTCCAAAAATGAAATCACAACAACCATCAAACCAAGAAAACAGCACCAAACTGAAGAGGAAAAACAGCCACCCACAAATAAAGTATTTCTGCCATACATCAAAGGGGTCACAGACCGGAAGAGGAAACTCTTGAAAAAACTCAACCTACAAGCAGTATTCAAGCCCACCACAAAAATACAACAAATGTTACGGTCAGCAAAGGACAGAAGGGACACTCTCACCACTGCAGAAGTATACCGGATACCTTGCAGTTGTGGCCAGGTATATATTGGAACCACAAAATGAAGCATCCACACCAGAATCAAAGAACATGAGAGGCACTGCAGACTAAAACAACCAGAAAAATTAGCAGTAGCTGAACATGCCCTAAAACAAGCTGGACATGAAATTCTATTTCAAAATACTGACATACTGGACAACACCAGCAATCATTACGTTAGACTGCACAGTGAAATCATTGAAATCCACAAACATCAGGAGAACTTCAACAAAAAAGAAGAAAGTTTGAGACTCAACAAAACTTGGCTCCCAGCATTGAAAAATACATCATGCAAAAGGTCAACGAATTCTACCCAGCCACAAGGACCGGGGATCACTACACATAAAAGAGCAGCTAAAGACACCCATCAATCACAGTGATAGATAATCTCTTCTCATTATCACAACAATACACCACAACAAAAACACACTGATCACCATAATCACCCATCTCTTGCAAAGGACACAATCTGATCTCATAGCCATAAATACTCTGCTCCCAAACAAACTGCACCAGAGCACAGAGTGCTACTCCTGTCCTCTGAAGATACTGGCCACAGAGACTGGCGAAACGTTAGGTAGAACAACCTTCAGAACATGGCCAAAGAGCCCAAAAAACCCACAACAACTATTGTAAGACAGTTTCCCCTAACCTCATGCCTTTTAGATTTGTTGGACTTCATTTCCCATCATTCTCAGACCAGGTTTGCTGGGGATGAAGAGGGTTGTAATTAAGCACATCCAGAATGTGCCATAAATGTGAGGTTGCTAATGCAAGAGGCCCTGAACATTTGGGAGAGAAAAAGTCTCTGAATAAATAAGGTAAGGATAAGATTAAACAATATGAGATGCCTACTTTGCCCATTTTACTTGGCAACGCTAAGGACAGTCCCTTTGCAAGATCATACCTTTCCATGATCTTCATTGTCCACAAATACTCCATTGACCCACAGGACTCGGTCTCCATCTCTCAGGCCAGCCTTCTCAGCTGGACTGTCCTTTTCCACCTTCCGAATAATGTGTCCTGCTTTAAATTTCTCAACACGCAGGCAAAAACCATACTTCTCTTTATCTTCTCTGATCAGTTTGCATTCTCTGGGATGAAAGGACATCCTTTCTGTCAAAAATGTTGAAAATGAAGATAATATATGTCAAAAAATGCTCATATATTGGATGGAAAGAGTGTTGTTGAGGGAAACTATCTGAATGCAGTGAACCAACCAAGTGCTCATAAAAAGGGGGAAGGAAGAAGATGTTGGGGAAGCAGAGACAGGACTTTCTTCTGTGAAGGGAAAAAAAGGAATACTTATTAATACTGAAAAAGTCACCACAAAAAAGGAGCTTGACAGCAAAATCCTATGCATGTGTTCTTAGAAGCAAGTCTCACAGTATTCGGTAGAGTTTCATTCTGGTAGGACAGAAAAAGGCTTCAAACACATAACATGGGTACATTGCCTGTTTTATCTCATTACTTTGACAGTGGGGTGCGTTGGCATTCTCAGTATCTAGTTAAACCTTATGCAGAGAGCATTACATGGAATATTATACAGTGGTTTGAGAGGGAAAAATCACAGAATTAGCAAGTACAGTATAGCCAGGAAATCACTGTATGAGTTTAGGATTAAGAAAACAGCAAGCTGTTTTCAGCTGCTGAATGTTTTTAGAAGAGAATAAAGATGCTATACTGATTAACTAAGATCAACTGCTTTCCCTGAGATGTTTTGAAGGAATAAACAGCTCATGACCAGGGCAGAGTGGGTGCCCTCATACTCATCATTTTGGAGGTGCTTCTCCCTAGTTGCTCCTGGGTAAAAGGATGACCTGACCCACCCATCAGACTTTAGTGAAGGTTTCATTTAAAAGTGCCACATGAGGATTACACAGTTATAACTGCGTTAAGGAAAAAAAAGTCTTAATCACTTATCATTCCCTCTTTACTGCCCATGGATACTTAGTCTAGAATTAGGCTTCTTGTAAAGTGCAAACAAACAAACAAACAAACAAAAAAACAAAAAGTAAGATGACTCCTGCCAATTAGTAGTGCTGATGGATAAATCCCCCAAACAGTTTCATTTTAATAATACCAAAGGAGGCTTTGAACATAACATAGCTATACCTATCAAAGGGCAAACTGGGTCTGTATCAAGCTGTAAGCAGCCAGTTGCAGAAATGGTATGTGGGGACATCCACTTCTTATACACAGGCCTCCTAAGATTCCATCCCTATCATTATTCCACATCCAGATTTTACCTACACTGTGGCAGGGATGTTGGCAAGTCTTTGGGTCCGTCCCAAGCCCCAAATCTCAGTCAGAGTCTTTGGTATCAAGCCCCAACTCCCATGCCAGTCCCTATCAAAAATAAGGTTTCCCCCCAGAAAAAATGGAGGGGTGGGTGGGACAATCTAGCTCCCTTCACATCTTACTTGATGAAGTGATGCTAATGCACTAAATCCCTTCAATTGATGGTGCACAGCCTACCATGGCCCTGCCTTCAATGTCTTTATATATTAGACACAGGATGCACAGAAGAGATGAGTTATTTCATTTGGACTGAGCTCATAGGTGAGGCAGGGGCATGATTCATAGGCTCTAGAGTGTGACGTTTTCATCTCAAAATGTAACATTTTAAGCAGAATCCACACACAATTAGATGCCTTCACAATGCAGGCATTCTATGATACTATCACCCGGCAAATGGCAGAGCTTGGAGGACTCTGTAAATAATGTCCCCAAATTTCAGCTACTTGCTAAGTACAAGATTCTCCCCACAATCCATCCTCGAAATGACTAAGCTAGACTACAAATTTGTTTCATTTGGCCATGAGGGTCCCTATTTGTACCAGAGAATGTGCATTGGGACTAAAAATCCTGCATGGTGTTTTTTCCTCACTAACTATAGCAAGCTAAGCAGAAATAATTTGTGATGGTTTTCAGCAGGTTGCTTCCATTTTGGGAACATCCAAAATCCAACTTCTTCTAAAATCCTTTGGGCATTAGAATTCACTGGGATATACTGCACAATATGAGAACTGCACATCTTATTTTAGGTGATTTGATTTTACTTTTGTTGCTTTCTGGCTTTGGGTGGTTCAGTAGAACACACACTCTTGAACAAATCATTGTTGGCTAGTAGGACAGGTCAAAAATTTGTTAACAGCTGTTATCACCCAGAATAGCTCTGCAAGTTAGTAATTAAGCGGCAATTGTGGTGCATTATAAAAATAGTGTACTTTGCTCACTGCTGCTTTGCTAGTGGCACACTATAGCCTGATTGATGTAGTTAATATGTAAAGAAATGATGGTTAATAAGTCGATGATCTTCTCCAAGGTGGAGGTGGAATTCGGGTGCCACCATTTATGATTCTTTTCATTCCAGCTGCAATTTAAAAGTGTGCTGGATCTGTAAGACTCTTGACATGTTATGTTGAATATGTGTAGATACAGGAAGAGGATCCCCTTACCTATTCTTCTCCTGCCACTACAAATGCTCATCATAACCTGTGAGAAATGCAATTGTGCAATCAAGAACCTTTGCATAGGCATCTTATACATACTCTTTCATAAGTGTTAGTAATGGAGTTCAAGTTCTGGGAGGATCAAATTAGGAAGAGGAGGAGGAGGAGGAAGAGGCAGAGCATCAGCAGCAAGTCAGGGCTTCCCTGCTTCCCCATCTATAGTACAAGGTGTGAGAATCCTTCATTTTTATAAATAAATACCCTATTTTAGGTAGTTAAATTTATATTCAAAGAAAATGTGGATAATCAGATTTTTGTATGTGCAGAACTACAGCCATTTTTATGCATATGGGGGAAAAATACTGTAGATTTCAGACAGGAGAATCTGAGATTATCCTGCAATTCATAATTTTAGTTTATGATGAATAAGTTTCTAGATATTAGAGAGATATTTGAAAACATTGAAGCATGAGGCTTAACCTGATGTCTAAAAGAAAGGAAGGAAGAAAGGAAGGATTTGAAGGTCTGAGACAGAAAGGAGTCGCAGAAATTCTTACCTGCTTGTGCAGAGTTTGTGCTCTCAAAATGTTGTTCTGCAGTCTCTTGTTCTACTTCATCAGCAAGCAGAGCTGTACTTTCAATGGACAAAGGTTGATTTAAAAGATGATTTATTTAACAGAACCTCATTGCATGGACTCCTTGATAACCAGTCTTGTCCCAACCCCCATTCGTCTTTGCTGAGCAACATTCTTCCCTTACTGACTGTGGATTCTTCTTTAGCAGTTCATTGATCATTACAGATGTTAAGATCCTCACATGGTGCCGAGAGTCACCTGATCTTTGACACAACTGACATACCTCCCTCCTGTTCACTTAATGAGATGGGAAGGACAAAGGGGTTCCATAGAGGCTTTGTACTGTATATATACAGAATTTAGAACTCATACACATAGAGCATTTCAAGTGGATATGATATAAGCTGGGGAGCACATACTGTAGCCTTCCAAGCACAGGTATTGGAATTCCTCACCATTGACTTTTCTGTCCAGGGCTGATGAAAGTTGGTGGCAGCAACACCTGGAGAACTATATATTTTCCACCCTTGATACAGACATCATACCACTGCTATATACATGGGAATTCTATACCGTGATTACTGTAGATTCAGATGACCAAGGCCCAAACCTATTTATGGTATAGAATTCCCAGGTATATAAGATTGTCCTTCAAAGGAGTAAGATCATTTTCACCTCTTTCCTACCACTCTCTGTGTGAAGTGTAAACAACAGAAGCTCTCATATCTAGAAAGCATAAGTTATTAGCCAAAGCAATACATTTGATCAATAGTTTGTACTTATAAGCTTATAAACTCAATTTCTAGTCAGCACATTCCGCAACAGTTTGAAATACTGAATAGATAAAGAGATACTCCATACCTTGCAAGTGTATGCAGTTTCTAAAATGAAAATCATGTAACTGCCTCCCAGATCACATCACTGCTTGATAAATCCACACCCACTCTCAGCCTCTTTCAAGCAAAGCTACTGACCTAATTCTCATGAAGTACTTGTGTAAATGTTAAGAGCTTATCCATCACAGACTTAAACTGGCTTAATGGTAATTTTGTCTCCCCAGGGAAGTCTGGGAATTAGAGTTTTGTGAGGACAGTTAAAAAAAAAAATTAGCCACAGATGTAAAGTTGATAGATCAGTTTATAGGCTGATACTGGTCAATATATTTTGCTTCCACAAGTCTCACAACACCAGGTAGAAGTGATAGCTGCCCATAGAGAACAACACAAAAGCATCCATTTTTCTTTCTTTCTTTCTTTCTTTCTTTCTTTCTTTCTTTCTTTCTTTCTTTCTTTCTTTCTTTCTCAGAAGACTGAGGGGAGATATGACAGCAGTTTTCAGATACTTGAAATTTAGTCATACAAAGGAGGGGAAAGATCTGTTCTCAATGATCCCAGAATGTAGGATGCAAAATTATGGGCTCAAGCTATAGGAAGCCAGATTTCAGTGGAATATCAGGGGGAAAAAATCTTAATTGTTAGAGCAGTATGACAATGGAACCAATTACCTCAGGAGGTGATGAGCACTCCAACACTGGAGGCATTCAAGGAAAAATTGAACAACCATCTGTGAGATCTACTTTGATTTGGATTCCTGCACTTAGCAGGGGGTTGGATTTGATGGCCTTATAGGCCCCTTTCAGCTCAATTATTCTATGATTCCATGATCTACTGGAAAATAGGCAAGGATGAAAATCTTGTTATATTCCAGTGGTACAATTTGACAGCATGGGGCTGTTATTTCAGCCAGAACCTTTCTCTTTTCTTCTCCATTGAAACAATTTAATTTCCAGTCAACAGCATGCAGGAGGCAAAATGTATTTGTTAACTTAGCATTAAGAGTCTGTAACCCAGGTGAATGATTGCTACCTCTTGGTTGCACCGTTATTTCTGCTTATCTTGAAGTAAATTCCTATTCCAGGTTATTTCAAATTCTTTGCTTGGTGCGGTATCCCTGTGTACTAGCCTCTAATTTCTGGTGAAACAGTTTCCACCTCCCTAATGCTGAGGCCAGCAAAGAAACTGCACTATGCTGGTGCTCTAGTTGCTACTTTGACTTCTTACCCTGTTTGGAGGGTGCTTGATGTAGGGACCAAGACATCACTCCGTACTGCTCGTTTTCCTTCGGATCACAGAAACAGATTTTCCTGGCTGTGAAATAATGTTGCATTTAGAAGGACAGGAAAAATATATTTATATGGCTTCCCAATGGCTACAGAATGTGTCTTCCCACCTCTGGAATCTTCTTAAAGCTCAACAATATTTTGGAAGCATTTCTAGTCCTTTCTAGCCTATGTTATTTTAGAGGGCTGGGTATACTTGATAGGCTATAGCACTAGATAGGGAGTCCCAGTGTGGTGCAGTGGTTACAGTGATGGACTAAGACTCTGGAGAACAGGGTTTGAATCCTTGCTCAGCCATGGAAACTGGCTGGGGGAGTGGAACTTGTAAAGCCACTCCTTAAATATCTCATTTACCTTGGAAGTCCTATTGAGGTCACTAGAAAGCAGTTCCGACTAGATGGAACAGAACACACACCTCATTAGCAGATGGAAAGTTCATGCATTTCACACTTATTTTAATTTTCAAATGTTATTTTTTAGTTGCTGAAATTCTTTATCTGAAAACTTGGAGGACTCCTGGCAGTCACTGCAGAGAATACTGAGCAAAACATGCCAATGGTTTGACTTGATGTAAGGCATTTTCCTATATTTCTAAAGGACTGCATTATAGCCATTGAGGTTGTGGTAAATTTTAAAGCGCAGGTACTCCTCATGATACTTCCCACAGCCTGCCACCTTACATAAAAAGTATCTGCAAATGCAGGCAGCTGGAGCAGTCCATATATCAATACATGAGGGTCAGGCCTTTAGTCAAGTTAATGGCTCTTAGTTGCCCATTCAATAAAATATTGAATGAGCATCATTACAATAAAATATCCTTGTGCAATGCAGCAGGGATAACTTGCAACAATGTACCATACTCTTCTGTTGACTATCAGGGCTACTCCATTCCTTCTATGGGATTCTTGCCCACAATAGTAGATATGATAATAATCTGAATTGAATTTGCCCATTACTGTCCATTTTAGTTCACTGAAGCCCAGGATGTCAATGTTTATTCTTGTCATCTCCTGTTTGACCACCTCCAGCTTCCCAAGGTTCATAGATCTTACATTCCAGGTTCCTATGCAGTATTTTTCTTTGCAGCATTGGACTTTCCTTTCACTTCCAGGCACGTCCACAGCTGAGGGTCCTTTCAGCTTTGGTCCAGCCACTTCATTAGCTCTGGAGTTACGTGTCCTCCACTCTTCCTCAGTAACATGTTGGACGCCTTCCAACCTGAGGGGCCCATCTTCCAGTGTCATATCTTTTAGCCTTTTGTTTCTGATCATGGGGTATTCTTGGCAAAGATACTGGAGTGGCTTGCCAATTCCTACTCCAGGTGGATTGCATTTAGTCAGAACTCTCCACTATGTTCTGTCCATCTTGGGTGTCCCTGCACGGCATAGCCCATAGCTTCTCTGAGTTACTCAAGCCCCTTCGCCATGACAAGGCAGCAATCCATGAAGAGACAAATGAGATTAGCACTCTTTAAAATGTTTGTATACCATGCAGTATATAGGGAGCTATGCAATACTCACAGAAAAAAGATTTTGCTTTTCTGCATACTGTTCCAAAATGTATAGTTGTAGCTTTCCATGGAAGCTGTATTCAGCAAAGCAGATCATTCAAATTTATTTTTACAACAACATATTCATAGTTTTATTATCATCTGTATCATGCCAGTAGTTCTTTCTGTCCTCCCTTCCCTCCATCCTGTTGGTAGGCATTATTATGAACCGGAGATGCGAAATCTATAGTTTTTTTTTTAACATTACATCTTCCAAATGTTTGGAATTGTAGTTCAAAAAAAGCAGCTCTCTGTGTCTTATGTGAGTTACCTCATGCGGGACGCTAAGCTACAAACATAGTCAAAACTGCATGTTACTTGCATGAACTTTCTTTTCTTCAGGCTGTGCTGGAAACTGAAGGCCCAGTGACATACTGTGTTGGCTTGGTAGAGAAGATCTTTGCTTCTTATTGTGGAATATTCCACAGTTGCTGGGAGATTTATTCAATACTTTCAAAAAACGACCCTTTGGGCCTATACTTCCCAGAATCTTACCAGCCACCATGATTCCTGATCTGCTTAAGGAAGCCTGTCCTTGGTAAATACAAACCTTGACTTGTCCACAACTCAGAATATTAATGGTGTATGAGATCAGAAGAAAGATGAAATTTACAAACTCATTTTACAATAAATACATTCAGGAGAAGTGTTTGTTCAGCCTTTCTTTGTTAGAAGGCAATACACGAATTTGCTGCCAGTTTCTCATTATGCCAATGCCTCATTATGCCAATATTTACATCCTCTCTCTTTCCCCCCTGGGTTTTAGTCTTGTAGTTTTCCAGTACAAAACAGCAGGTTCTCATGACAAGTAACCACTAATACCATGCAATGATAGTAAAAGGCATTACAACTTTACATAAAGATCTAAGTGCCAAAGTACTTTATTTTAATGAGCAAGATTTAAATTTCTTCATATCACTGTAACAGCAGTTAGACTATTGTTATGGTCTTTGGTGTTTCTCCTTCAAGCATGTAATTTTTTCTTAAGCTTTTCCTCAAAAGGATGCACACCTTTGTTGCAGCTTTTAAATCTGTCATCTAGTTCTGGAGGCTTTCCTAAGAGGTTATGGCTGGCTCCCTGCTGAAAGTATATTTTGTTTCTCTCTCTGCATCCTACTAGTGCCACTGGAGGGGTCTTGTCGAGAGCCATTTACTTCTCTGCTTCTCTGCTTCCCAGAATTGCTGTATTATTGCAGACAATGCAAAAGAGATTCCTGCAAAATCATTTCAATCAAATTAAAACTTCATAATCATAACAATATAGAATTAAGCTTTTATATTTTCTTTGACTATATTTTCAGGATGGAAGGACCTGGGTTGCTTTTGTCCTTCACATCCTCTAGTGTTGTCAGGGTAGCATACATGGGTTAGCCCTTTGCATCTTCCCATTTTATTCCCACAATAACCTTGCAAATTTTCCGATTGCAATTCGGAATGGTCTCAGATAGACTCT